GTGACATATTCTTTCCGGAAAATAACTCCAGAACTTCTACAAATATTCCACCTGAGCTCTGTCACAGGAGAATTATCGACTTTAAAAGGTCTGGATTATGAAGAATCCAGCTTCTATGAACTGGAAGTTCAGGCTCAAGATGGTGCTGGTAGTCTGACCAAAACAAAAGTACTGGTCACGATTTTAGACGTGAATGATAATGCCCCAGAAGTGACCGTCACGTCTGTGAGCAATCCAGTCCCTGAAGATACACCGCCTGGGACAGTGGTCGCTCTTTTCTACCTCCAAGACAAAGATTCAGGAAAGAATGGTGAGGTGAGCTGCTCCTTCTCAGAAAAGCTGCCTTTTAAATTAGAGCGATCGATTGATAATTATTACAGGCTGGCCACTGCCCAAAACCTGGACCGGGAAAAGATGTCTATGTACAACATCACACTGAAAGCCACAGATGGCGGAATTCCTCCTCTGTCCACAGAATGTCACATATCCATTCATGTGTCAGACACCAATGACAACCCACCCACCTTCTCTGCTTCCTCTTACACCATCCACATCCCTGAGAACAATCCCAGAGGCGCCTCCATCTTCTCAGTGACGGCACAAGACCCTGACAGTGACAAGAATGCCCAAGTCACCTATGCTTTAGCTGAGGACACCATCCAGGGGACCCCAGTGTCTTCCTATATCTCCATCAACTCTGACACTGGTGTCCTATATGCACTTGGATCCTTCGACTATGAGCAGTTTCGGAACCTACAACTAAGAGTGACTGCACGTGACAGTGGGGACCCACCTCTCAGCAGTAATGTGTCACTGAACCTCTTTGTGCTGGACCAGAATGACAATGCCCCTGAGATCCTGTACCCTGCTCTCCCCACTGATGGTTCCACAGGGGTGGAATTGGCTCCCCGTTCTGCAGAACCTGGATACCTAGTGACCAAGGTGGTGGCTGTGGATAAAGACTCGGGCCCAAATGCTTGGCTGTCCTATCGGCTGCTTAAAGCCAGTGAGCCAGGGCTTTTCTCAGTGGGGCTACATACAGGTGAGGTGCGCACAGCAAGGGCCCTTCTGGACAGAGATGCACTTAAACAGAGCCTTGTGGTAGCTGTGCAGGACCATGGCCAGCCCCCACTCTCAGCCACTGTGACGCTCACCGTGGCTGTGGCCAACAGCATTCCTGATGTTTTGGCAGACCTGGGCAGCATCAGGACCCCTAGTGAACCTGATGATTCAGACATCACTCTCTACCTGGTGGTGGCAGTGGCCACTGTTTCCTGTGTTTTCCTTGTCTTTGTCACGGTGCTATTGGCTCTCAGACTGTGGCGTTGGCACAAGTCACACAGGCTGCCGGCTTCAGGTGGTGGGCTGGAAGATGTGCCCGCCTCACACTTTGTAGGTTTGGATGGGGTTCAGGCTTTCCTGCAAACATATTCCCATGAGGTTTCACTCACCTCAGACTCTCGAAAGAGCCACATTATCTTCCCTCAGCCCAACTACGTGGATACTCTTATCAGCCAAGCCAGCTGTGAGAAAAGTGATTCTTTGTTAACATCCATAGATTTTCAGGAATGTAAGGGAGAAGCTCCAAGTGTGCAGGTGAGTTCATGTCTTTGATTTTTCTGTGGGCCTGTGTGTATGCAGTATTCTCGTGACATCAGGTGTCATCTTCTATTGCTTTCCACCCTGTCTATAGAGGGAGGGTCTCTTATTTAAACCCAGAACTGGGCAATTTGACTAATGTGGCTAGTCAGCTTGCTCTGAGATTTCCTGTCCCCCATCTCTTGTGCTCTGGGATCACACGTGGGCCACCGCGACTACCTGGCACTTATGTGGGTTCTGGGGATCCAAACTGTGATTCGCACACTTTCAAGTCTAGCAATTTATCCATGAGTCATCTCCTAAGGCCCATCTGCCTTTATCTTTATTTCCACAAGAATTAAATTTTGCATCAACTGTCTCTATCATTTTTCAAAGACAAACACTTGAAAAATGTAGATAAAAACCATTAAAATATATCAGAAAAGGTTACCATTTTATTTCAGTAGTTGTACTTTAGCAAGAAGCACATAGGTTGTGATCTCTTTTAATTAAACCCTGTGTATACGAATGTGCCTAAGTAAACTAACATGTTTCTGTGCCGTCTACCTACTTTCCCCCTAGTGTTCTTAACTCAAATATTATCTAAATGAAATGAATTGTTGAGTCTTTCTCTCTGGCTACCTTCTTGGGATTCTTCTTAGAATTCAATTCTATAAAAAAAAAAGTGTTAATGGTCTTTTCAACCTAAAGCATTTCTCTGCTTTGCTTCTATCTCCGTGTAATTCAACTCAGTGACCTTAAAAAGCATGATTACTTGCTCAACTATGTAGAGCATACTCATCTCACAGAATATTAGACAGATGCTTCAAGATGAAATGTGTCCAGCTGGGAAGATACCTTATCCAGTAAAAAGCTTCCTGCACAAGCATGAATACCCGAGTTCAATTCTCAAGTATTCACCACTAACATCTGTATAAAATAGACATGGTGTCATGCAGAAGATACAGGCATGGTGGTGCACTTCTGATCCCAGTGCTGGGGAGGCAGAGACAGGCAGATCTCTGGGATTAGTCCCGCCAGCCTAAACCAACTGGTGAAGCCCAGGTCCCAGTGAGAGACCCTGACTCAAAAAATATGTTAGAAGGCTCCTGAGGAACAATACCTGACATTCACCTCTGTCCTTCATACACACACACACACACACACACACACTTCACACACACCACACACACACCACACATACACACACACACTTCACACACACCACATACACACCACACATACACACACCACACACACACCACACACACACCACACACACACCACACATACACACACCACACATACACACACCACACACACACCACACACACACACCATACACACACACACATGCACACACACCACACACACACATGCACACACAGTTCACATAAAAGAATAAAATGTGGCAAGCACCACTAACATCTGTATAAAATAGACATGGTATCTAATAACACAATAAAATTAATTGGTCATGCTGGGCAGTGGTCACACACCTTTAACGCCAGCACTCAGGAGGCAGAGGCAGGCAAATCTCTGTGAGTTTGAGGCCAGCCTGGACTACAGAGCGAGTTCCAAGTTAGCCATGGCTACAAGGAGAAACTATCTCAAAAATCCAAAAAAATTTAATTGGTCAAAATAGATTAAATTTGTCAAAGAAGGTGGCATTTCAAGGTAGGCGTGGTGGTTCTGCTTGATTGCAACCTTCGGGAGACAGAAACAAGACCTCTAGGCCAGCTTCTTCTTCATTCTCAACCCCCAGTATCTTTTCAAGTGTCGTAACTCTTTTGGAGAAATAAACAACTGCATTCTTCACACACTAATGTATTCTTTTGGTGGCTCTCCAGCTGAAGTGTCTGTGGGGACACTGGGAAAGCTGGTCCTATGAAATAACCCTCTCATGCTCTCAAACCCCACGCCATATTCACTTTCATTTATCTGCTCTGCTGGGGGACAAAAGACTAGAAATTACTAAGTTTGGGGACTGACTACTTCCATATTCTTTCACGGAATGTTTTTATTGCAGTGCTGTATGTTTTGGTATTTTCCATATGAGCAAGCACTTAGTAGCATAAGAGAATATTTCACTTCTGTGGTGTTCTGTTGTGTGACAAGTTAGTGAGAATATTACAATATTACATTTTGTGAAGAAAGGCATACTGTTGTAAATAGGGTTTCCAGATATAATCAACATGTATTAGATTCTCAAATACATTTCTAAACAAAGAGAAGAAGTCATCACTAAACTCGGGGAGCTATTGAAAGCATGCTCTCCAGGGAGGTTTCCCCTCAATTCTGAAGTTATCTTGAAATATAAAGCAAGTGCATAAGAAGGGACCAGTACTGGAGTTCTATAGTCTTTAGTTCCTGAGCACCACAAAGTAAACCATTGTTCCCTCGGTGATTTGAGTGTTGATGTTATGGTTTATAGTGAGAATAACTGTAATGGGAAATGGGGTGCCTAACAGTTCAGCCTGTATCATTTCTTTACCGGAGGTAGTGGAAGTGAGAATCACATAACAGTACTGTGAGGCAATTGTTCAAAGTATTTTTGCAAAATTAAATGAGTTGAATGATGAGTATGAATTGCACCTGGATCAAAAAAAATTTCATCCAGACATGGTGGTGCACACCTTTAATCCCAGCATTTGATTGGCAGAAGCAGGTGAATCTCTGTAATTCAACATCAACCTGGTGGACATACTTCCAGGACAGCCACTCTATGTAGATAGACCCTGTCTCAAAAGAAGAAAAGGGAGGGGAATAATAAAGGAAGCAGAAGAAGGAAGAGGAGGAGGAAGGAGGAAGAGGAGGAGGAAGGAGGAAGAGGAAGAAGAAAAGGAAGAGGAAGAAGAGGAAGAAGAAGAAGAAGAAGAAGAAGAAGAAGAAGAAGAAGAAGAAGAAGAAAAGACTGACCCTCTCAGAAAATGAAGTATAAAGTAAATCAGACTGGATATGCCTAAAAAAGTAGATAAAACATTTGGGATTAAAAAAAGAAGGAAATTTATACCACCATATTGCTGCTCAATAAATATGCAATGTTATTGCTCCCTGAGATTATTTAGGCCAAGACTTGTTCCAGTCATGTTTGGCTCACTAGTGGAGTATTAAAGATTTAAGCACACTTATGTCAACAGATATTATGCCTGTAGAGACATAATCCTGGAAATTTTTGCTAAAAAGCATTTCTGATAATAGATGTTGAACGTTATTTAATGTATGGAAATTACTAAAAAACGCCTAACAACAGAGGCTGCAGTTTCCTACTGTGGACTTTGGGTGCCGCTGTTGGCCAGTCTGGAGAGCCTGAAGCGCCACTTCTCGCGCAGCCGCAGAGAGCTTTCCGAAGAGCCCTTTCTCCGCCTTATCCTTTATACCGCTTCTTCCAAGCAAAAGAAGAATCGATTCGTGAACTAGAACTGGCATCAAAGACCATTTGGAGCCAGGAATATCCGCAGCACGGAGCTTCCTCGTAACCCGGCGTCTCCAGGTTGGTGAGCGAGCAAACGGGAACAAGAAGAATGTGGGAGGGCGCTGCCGAAAGGCGCCGGGTACAGAGGCGGCCAATGCTCCTTCCTTTCCTGCTGCCTTTGTTCTGCACTGCGCTCTCTGAGCAGATCCGCTACAAGATCCCCGAGGAAATGCCCACCGGCTCGGTAGTGGGGAACCTCGCCAAGGACCTGGGCTTCAGTGTCCAGGAACTACCGACGCGAAAGCTGCGTATCAGTTCCGAGAAGCCTTACTTCAGTGTGAGCGCAACCAGCGGGGAGTTGCTAGTGAGCAGCAGGCTGGACAGGGAGCAGATTTGCGGGAAGAAGCCGTTGTGTGTTCTGGAATTTGAGGCTGTTGCTGAAAATCCGTTGAACTTTTATCACGTGAGCGTGGATCTTGAGGACATTAATGACCACATGCCAAAATTCACGCACACATCCTTTGAATTGCAAATAAGTGAGTCCACAAAACCAGGGACACGATTTATCTTAGGATCCGCCTATGATGCAGACATTGGAACCAATTCTCTGCAGAATTACCAGCTGAGTCCCAGCGATCATTTTTCACTTGTGAATAAAGAGAAGTCAGACGGTAGTAAATACCCTGAAATGGTACTGAAGACACCTCTAGACCGGGAAAAGCAGAAATCCTACCACTTGACCTTGACTGCTTTGGACTTTGGGCGTCCACCCCTCAACAGCACTGCACAGATACAAGTCCTAGTGACTGATGCCAATGATAACCCTCCAGTGTTCAGCCAAGATATATACAGGGTGAGCCTGCCAGAAAACGTGCACCCGGGAACCACCGTGCTTAGGGTGGCTGCCACCGATCAGGACGAGGGTGTCTATTCCCAGATCACGTATTCTTTTAGCGAAGCTGGCCAGATCACACAATTTAACCTGGATTCTAATACCGGGGAAATTACTACTCTGGATACATTAGACTTCGAAGAAGTCAAAGAATATTCCCTTGTTTTGGAAGCAAGGGATGGTGGGGGAATGATTGCACAATGTACTGTGGAGATAGAAGTCCTGGATGAAAACGACCATGTCCCCGAAGTGTTGTTCCAGTCTCTGCCGGATCTCGTAATGGAGGACGCTGAGCCAGGAACACACATCGCTCTGCTTAAAACCCAAGACAAAGATTCTGGACGCAATGGAGAAGTTATCTGCAAACTAGAAGGAGGTGTTCCATTTAAAATACTCACTTCCTCAAGAAACACATATAAATTAGTGACAGACGGGGTTCTAGACCGCGAGCAGAACCCAGAATACAACATTACTATCAGAGCCACCGACAAGGGTGAGCCGCCCCTCTCTTCCAGCTCTAGTGTCATCTTGCACATTGGGGACGTGAACGATAACGCTCCAGTTTTCACAAAGGTTTCATACCTGGTCCATGTAGCAGAGAACAATCCACCTGGAGCCTCCATCGCTCAAGTTAGCGCCTCTGACCCGGATTTAGGGCCCAATGGCGATGTTTCCTACTCCATCATAGCCAGCGACCTGGAACCTAAATCGCTGTGGTCATATGTGACCGTGAACGCACAGAGCGGAGTGGTGTTCGCGCAGCGCGCCTTCGACCACGAGCAGCTCCGCTCCTTCCAGCTGACACTGCAGGCCCGCGACCAGGGCTCGCCCGCGCTCAGCGCCAACGTGAGCATGCGCATACTGGTGGGCGACCGCAACGACAACGCGCCACGCGTGCTGTACCCCACGCTGGAGCTCGACGGCTCTGCGCTCTTTGACATGGTACCTCGTGCTGCCGAGCCCGGATATCTGATCACCAAAGTGGTGGCGGTGGATGCCGATTCCGGACACAATGCCTGGTTGTCGTACCACGTGCTGCAGGCCAGCGATCCCGGACTCTTCAGCCTGGGCCTGCGCACTGGCGAGGTGCGCACAGCGCGTGCCTTGGGTGACAGAGACTCTGCGCGACAGCGCCTTCTGGTCGCTGTGCGTGATGGTGGACAGCCACCACTCTCGGCTACAGCAACGCTCCACCTGATCTTCGCTGACAGCCTGCAGGAGGCCCTGCCAGACCTCAGAGATGACCCACTGCCCCCTGACCCTCAAGCCGAGCTGCAGTTCTACTTAGTGGTGGCCTTGACCTTGATTTCTGTGCTTTTCCTCCTGGCTGTGATTCTAGCCATCGCGCTTCGACTGCGACACTCTTCCAGCTCCTCTGTCTGGGGCTGCTTTCAGTCAGAAGTTGTGGTTCCCCCCAACTACAGCGAGGGGACTTTGTCGTATTCCTACAACCTGTGTGCTGCTCCCACGGGGAAGGCAGAGTTTAATTCCCTAACATGTAATGATCAGTTGAATTCAGGACAAGATATACTTTTTGGAGATTCAGCGGGAGCCTTGTTTCCACTTTGTAATTCCAGTGAGTCAACGTCCCATCAGGTGAGTTTCCTGCGAGTATAATATACTCTTTTCTACTTACTTGGCCATATTCTCAGGAAATATATACTTTTCAGATAGAACCAGTTCTTAAGGCAATGCTGGTGAAGAGTTGGTGGTGTGGTTCAGTGTTAGAGCACCTGCCTAGTGTGCTGACTCAGTCCCTAAGACCACCATGAAAAGTTTAGTGGGTTAAAAAGTGCTCGTGGGGGCTGGAGAGAGACTCAGCAGTTAAGAGCATTGGCTGCATGGCGGGTGTATCGCAGCTGACAATTTTCTGTAACTGCAGTCCCAAGGGATCGGACTCCCTCTTCTGGCCTCTGAGGGTACCAGGCACACACAGGGCACAGACACACATGCCAACAAAACCAAATACATTTAATAGATAAATAATCCTGAACAGTGATCATCTAATTCTTCAAAGAATAAAGTATGAGCACTTCTGTGCCTTATAGGTATGGCTTACCAAACTCAAATGATCAGAAAGTGGTCTTACCTACAATGTGAAAATTTACTGACTCTCCCTAGAATTTAGTGAGAGTTCTCCATGAATTTTCTTCCTGTTGCTTAATACAATATAAGATGAATACTTGTTGTAGCTTAAACATACTGTAATTATAAAAGCAGTCATGGAGCTGGGTGTGGTGGCTCATGTCTTTAATCCCAGCACTTGGGAAGTAGAGGCAGGTGGATCTCTGGGTTTGAGGCCAACCGAGAGTTACAGTACTGCCAGGGCTACACAGAGAAACTCTGTCTAGAAAAACCAAAACAAACGAACAAAAGTCATTGAGGTTCAGCAGTTAAGAACACTGGCTGCTCTTTCAGAGGACCTAGGTTCAAATCCCAGAACCCATATGTTGCTTCACAACTGTCTGTAAGTCCAGTTTCATGAGATATGACGCCCTCTTCTGGTCTCCAAGATGAAAGACATGAAAGTGGTACAGACTTTCATGCAAAGAAAATTCCATACACACAAAAAGTCACTGAAATGATCCTTAAAGAAAAAAAGTATTTTCTACTGATGCATCTGTTATAGTTTCTATAATCTGTTTGCTTCATGTGATTAATTCCTTTCCCACCAAAGACTCCCAAAATAAGATCTCTTAAGCTTAGCTTTATGTCCATGTCCCCTTGGACATAATTTTGTGCAATATGTTATGTGTGGACAGTTACTTAGCAAAAGGTTTAGTATTCATCAGAAGATCAAAAGGTTTAATACTATATTATATACAATGCCAGAATTTGGTAAATGAAGGCAGGGCTAGCCAGGACTATGTGAGACCCTTTCTAAACGAACAGCCCAAAACCCAGAAGGTCAAAAGCAGTCTGTTATTGCTGGAAGTGGAGGTTTTTGAGTTTCTTTGTACTGAAGCTCATTCAGTAGGCTCCCCCATTGGAGACGAGATGAACAATGCTTTCGCTCTGTTTCTCCCTGACACATTCCAACATGTAATTTTAAAAATTATTACTAGTATTGCTTGTAAATAATATGGGGTAGACATGCGGGTCAGAGGACAACGTTGTAGATTTCATTCTTTCCTTCTACCTTTTATATGGCTTCCAAGGATAAAACTCATGTCACAAGGTTTAGAAGGCAAGTGCTTCTGTCTGCTGAGCCATCTGGATGAACTCTAGCAGAAAATTCTCTGTCTTTTCATTGTTCTCCTACACCAAAATATGTAGAGGCCTTCTACAAATTTAGACTATCTCTAGGAGAAAAGTAATCTTGAAGTTTTTCAAAATTTTAGCAAAACTTTCAAATCTGATGTGCATATAAAAAATAATATATACAAAAAGTCATAGTACATTGTGTCACTCCTGCTGGGCAGTCTATAGCACCTGCTTCAGTTACTGACCACTTCAAACTACCGATGGAAAGCATTTTTGTAGTGGCATTTACTGTTTGGCTTCTTGTGATAGTTATGCGTTCCTCACTCTTTGTTGTTCTGTGGGTGAAAGCTGTAGTAGTGGAGCTAACCGTGTGTGTGTGTGTGTGTGTGTGTGTGTGTGTGTCCCTTAAACAGTCATCTCATTTAAAATGTAACTATTGCCAGGCTTGGTGGTACACACTTTTAATCCCAGCACCTGGAGGCAGATAGATGGAGCTCTGAGAGTTGGAGACCTGGTCTGCAGAGCTAGTTCGAGGACTCATAGTTAGACCCTGTCTCAAAAAACTAGCCATAGAGTTTTGCTTTTGTATCTTTATCTGTTCCTTTCAAGTATCTATTAACTAGGAAGAAATCCATGATTTAAATAAAATAACAAACCAGTATAATCTCTGATTTAAAAAAAAACAACTTGAATTGTAAAGTATTTGTCCTGTTAAAATTTCACAACCTTAATATAAAAACTTATCGGTAATTAAATAACATTTAGAAAGGAATTGTAAAAGCATCAACTCTGTGGAAAGCTACTACAACGGTTGGTTTAAACCAGCAAAAACAATCTCCAAATAATCATCTTTAAAGGATCTGTTCTAGTCTTAAATTAGGGTTCTTAATTAAACCGTATGTATTGAAAAGTTTCTCACAAAGCTGGGAAACATCGGGAAATAAAACTACCCTGTTTTCTTTTGGGAGTGAATGTAAACCGCCATTTGATGCAATGTTAATCCACAGACCAAATAATTAACATAATCACACTTTATCACACACACGTTTGCACTTTCTTCTGAAATAAATATTTAGGAACAAATTTAAAATTAAAGTAATGAAAAGCGCCTAATAAAAGCTTAAGAAACTGCGTCTGAGTGCAGTAACACTTTAGGACTCTAAGCGCCGCTGTTCACCTGCTGGGAGAGAAATGCACCCGAAAAGCCATCAGATTCTCAACGCTGACAAAATCAGACTGGCAGATTCCAGAGTCCAACTGCGGAACTGCGGTGAAATTCCGTCCCTAGGTTTGTGGCTCTCCAGCTTTCCGTAAGATTACTGTTCCCATCACCGCTACCAAAAACCCAACCGCCTACGCCCAGTGAAGACTGGGAGGATTCTTGTACGAATGAACAATGGCTGCTTCCAAAAATCAACACCGGCAAAGCGGGCTGGTCCTATTGTGTACGCTGATGGGGACGCTGTGCCAGATCGCGGTAGGACAGATTCGCTACTCGGTTCCAGAAGAGACAGAAAAAGGCACGGTCGTGGGTAACGTCTCCAAGGACCTGGGGCTGGAGCCCCGCGAGCTGGCGGAGCGCGGGGTCCGCATCGTCTCCAGAGGTAGGTCGCAGCTTTTTTCTCTAAACCCGCGGAGCGGCAGCCTGGTCACCGCGGGCAGAATAGATAGGGAGGAGCTGTGCGCCCAGAGCGAGCCCTGTCTTGTAAATATTAACATCCTAGTTGAGGACAAAGGAAAACTCTTTGGGGTAGAAATCGAAATAACTGATATTAATGATAATAATCCGAAGTTCCATGTTGAAGATCTGGAAGTGAAAATTAATGAAATCGCTGCCCCCGGAGCACGGTACCCACTCCCAAAAGCAGTTGATCCAGATGTGGGCCTAAACTCCCTCCAGAGTTACCAACTCAGCCCCAACCAACACTTCTCTCTGGATATGCAAAGAGGAGACCAAGGGGCTATAAACCCAGAGCTGGTGCTGGAGCGCACCCTGGACCGAGAGGAAGAGCCCATTCACCACCTGGTCCTCACCGCCTCCGATGGCGGCGACCCGCGCCGCTCCAGCACAGCGCTCATCCAGATCACAGTGTTGGATACAAACGACAATGCCCCTGTTTTCGACCAACCGCTTTACCGCGTGAAAGTCCTTGAGAACGTGACCCCGGGCACCTTGCTGCTTACAGTGAGAGCTAGCGACCCGGATGAGGGTGCCAATGGGAAAGTGACATATAAATTCCAGAAAATTAATGACAAACAGTCCCTGTTATTCCATCTTCATGAAATCACCGGAGAAATATCAGTAGCGAAAACTCTGGACTATGAAGAATGTTCATTATATGAAATGGAAATACAGGCCGAAGATGTGGGTGCGCTTCTGGGGAGAAGCAAAGTGATAATTATGGTAGAAGATGTAAACGACAATCGGCCGGAAGTGACCATTACATCCTTGTTTAACCCAGTGCTGGAAAATTCTCTTCCTGGTACAGTAATTGCCTTCTTGAATGTGCATGACCGAGACTCTGGAAAGAACGGTCAAGTTGTCTGTTCCACACACGAGAACTTACCTTTTAAATTAGAAAAGTCAATAGATAATTATTATAGATTGGTGACATGGAAGTATCTGGACCGAGAAAAGGTCTCTGTCTACAATATCACGGTGATAGCTTCAGATCTAGGAGCCCCACCTCTGTCTACTGAAACTTACATTGCCCTGATTGTGGCAGACACTAATGACAACCCTCCTCGTTTTCCCCATACATCCTACACGGCCTACATCCCAGAGAATAATCTGAGAGGTGCCTCCATCTTCTCCTTGACTGCACACGACCCTGACAGCCAGGAAAATGCGCAGGTCACTTACTCTGTATCTGAGGACACCATACAGGGAGCACCTCTGGCCTCTTACATCTCCATCAACTCAGACACTGGCATCCTGTATGCACTGCAATCTTTTGACTTTGAGAAGATTCAAGACTTGCAGTTTTGGGTTATTGCCAGTGACAGCGGAAACCCACCACTCAGCAGCAACGTGTCATTGCGCTTGTTTGTATTGGACCAGAATGACAATGCTCCTGAGATTCTATACCCGGGTCTCCCCACAGATGGCGCAACTGGTGTGGAACTAGCACCCCGCTCTGCAGAGCCTGGATACCTTGTGACCAAGGTGGTGGCGGTGGACAGAGACTCGGGACAGAACGCCTGGCTGTCCTACCGCCTGCTCAAGGCCAGTGAACCTGGGCTCTTCTCCGTGGGGCTGCACACGGGGGAGGTGCGCACTGCCCGGGTCCTGCTGGATAGAGATGCTCTCAAACAGAACCTGGTGATGGCAGTGCAGGACCACGGCCAGCCTCCTCTCTCCGCCACTGTAACGCTCACTGTGGCCGTGGCTAACAGTATCCCTGAAGTGTTGG